GCTGCTTGGAGCCAAGTCTCAGGACTGCCTGGAGTCCTACTTTACACATCCCTGCTGAATCCTCTGACTCCCATAGCAATGAATACAACTGGGCCCAGATGTGGGCTTCTACACACCACTGTCTTCTAAAAAAGATCCAAGTTTTTTCCCAAGAAAACGGATGATTCCATGACTAGGGCAAACAAAGTATAAAATGAGCAAGGAACATCTTGTTGGGCCACATGTAAGAAGTGCTCAAAGTCCGAATGAGAGGTCAAAGGGACACTGCTCAAGGGACCTCATGAGACTCTTGCTGGTTAAATTTGGGACAATTTGAGCATCAAAATGTAAAATGAGGGCAGCCCAGGTGGCTCAGTGGTTTAGCGCCACCTTCAGCCCAGGGCGTGATCCTGGAGACCCGGGATCGAGTCCCATGTCAGGCTCCCTGCATGGAGCCTGCTTCTCCCTCTGCCTGTGTCTCTGCCCCTCTCTCTCTCTGTGTTTCTCATGAATAAATAAATAAAATCTTTTTTAAAAAATGTAAAATGAGGGGGATCCCTGGGTGGCTCAGCGGTTTGGCACCTGCCTTTGGCCCAGGGCACGATCCTGGAGTCCCGGGATCGAGTCCTGTGTTGGGCTCCCGGCATGGAGCCTGCTTCTCCCTCTGCCTGTGTCTCTGTCTCGGCCCCTCTCTCTCTCTCTCTCTCTCTCTCTCTCTCTCTGTGTGTGTGTGTGTGTCTATCATAAATAAATAAATATTTTTTTAAAGATTTTATTTATTTACTCATGAGGGACACACACACACACACAGAGAGAGAGAGAGAGAGAGAGAGAGAGAGAGAGGCAGAGAGACACAGGCAGAGGGAGAAGCAGGCTCCATGCAGGGAGCCTGACATGGGACTCGATCCTGGGTCTCCAGGATCACGCCCTGGGCTGAAGGCGGCGCTAAACCGCTGAGCCACCGGGGCTGCCCAATAAATAAATATTTTTTTTAAAATGTAAAATGAGTAAGAATAAGAAGTTGGGGGACTGGGTGATGGCCACTGAGAAAGGCATATGACGGAATGAGCACTGGGTGCTATATGCAACTGATGAATCACTAAATTCTACCTCTGAAACTAATAAAACACTATATGCTAATTAAAGTGAATTTGAATTTTTTTTTTTAAATGTTAAGGTGTCTGGGTAGCTCAGTGGTTGAGTGTCTGCCTTTGACTCACTTTATGATCCTGGAGTCCTGGGGTGTAGTCCCACATCAGGCTCCCAGCAGAGAGCCTGCTTCTCCCTCTGCCTATGTTTCTGCCTCTCTCTGTGTCTCTCATGAATAAATAAGTAAAATCTTTTAAAAAAAAATTTTTTTAGAAGAGTAAGGACAGAAAGCCTGGGTGGCTCAGATGGTTGGATGTCTGCCTTTGGCTAGGGTCATGGTCTCAGGGTCCTGAGATTGAGCCCCACATCATGCTCCCAACTTGGTGGGGAGCCTGCTTCTCCCTCTTCCTCTGCCCCTCCTCCTGCTTGTACACTCTCTCTCACTCTCAAATGAAAAAAAAAAAAGAGTAAGGACTATACTACGTAACAAAATTTTTAAGAAGCAGCTCATTTTCACAGAAAAATACCAGTTAATTAAGCACAGAAAGCAAGACAAAAATCAACAGTTACCATTTTATAGAGCCATGGGTCATGAGTGCTGACACCATGAGGTGAGACTAGCAGGGGAAACTAATCTCCAACCACAGCCACGGATCACTCGCTAATGACAAAAAAGGCCTATATTTTCCATTGGCCACCACCTCCTGGGAAGTGGGATAGCTGACCCCAAGAGCTCCTGATGAAATTCAACTGAAGGGAGCGTCCTTCTGTCACTACCACCACCCGCTCCCCATTCTGTTGCTTCTGACTCCTTCTCTTTTCAAAGGTCATGTGACTATCCTATCAGTTAGAGAATTCACCCTGGCTCCCTTCCTTTTGGACTACTTTTCAAATGCACATTACCAGTCTTCTGAAGTTGATGTGCTTGTGATTATGAGTGCTGCCTTCCCTGTGTCCCCAAATAATTCCTAGAGAAACACATTGCAAGAAGGCAGGTATTGAGGGAAGGGCTAAGCTCAAGCCCCTTCCCTCAAGAACACCAACAGGTAATCCTGAATCGTCTTGTGAACCTGAATCTGATCACAAGAGACTAGAGCAGTTGAGAATGGGCTGGGGCAGGAAGTGCTGTTGTACACTGCAGAAGTCTAAACAGACAGGACAGCTAAATGCAATGCAAGCATCCTTTTCAATCCAGAGTGAAGAAAAAAACAGGCACAGAGAAAATATTGAAGATTACTGGGGAAGTCTAAGCAAGAGCCACGATGATGGGACAGAGTCACTGATTCAGTGCTCCCTACATGTGCCTGGGTGCTCAGTTGTGTGGAAAGCAGTCCTTGTTCTTATAAAAATCCCTGCTGGCACATCTAGGGGTGAGGCACCATGACACCTACAGCCTACATTCACATGGGTTGGCCAAGAGGAGAGTGTCCACAATCAGAAAGAGATGGAGCAGGTCACCAAAACGTTTAAAGTTTGCAAATATAGCTGAGGGTACATGGATGTCCGCTGCATTGTTCTACTTTGAACCGTGGGCTTGGGAAGGTTTTTTTTTTGGGGGGGGGGGTTTAAATAAAAAATGAACAAGCAATAATACAAAAATATTTCACAAAGCAAACAAATGACAAGATGGCACTGCTATGAAAGCCAGGGCACATCTGGCGACATAAAGGCACTAAGAATCAGTACAAATTTATTTAAAGTAAATGACCCAACACTAAGATCCTGCAGGGAAATAACTGGCCAAACCGGAATGTTTTCAGAAAAGAGTCCCAGAGGTGTCTGGGGGAAGGGGATAGGATAGATACAATAAAATATCTGGTTTTATTTTTTTTTAAGATTTTATTTATTTATTCATGAGACAGAGAGAGAGAGAGGCAGAGACATAGGCAGAGGGAGAGGGCCTCATACGAAGTGGAACCCTCAGACATTAAAAAGGAATTGCTTGTGATAGGTTAGGCAGACCAGTGGCATGAGACTCATAATGCCCACACTGACTCCCACTTTGCTTTGCAGCATGGTTTTAGAGGAGCTGGGAAGGAACCAGCAGCACTCAGGCACATCAGTATGCCTGCCCAGCCTCTGTCTCAACTGATAGTTTTTTTCATACTTGACCAAGTCTAGAATCCTCTGGGGTACATCCTGGGGTCCCTAAGCCTCATGGAAGGGACTCCCCAATTCCATCAAGCTGAGGATGCCAAAGGTCCTCCATGAAGTCAGAGCTAAAGCCACCCCAAAGGGTCTTCTCTGGCCACCACACATCGTAAGCAGATATGCTTTCCTGAGCCTTGAGGCAGAGTCTAACCACCCCTGGGGGCAGGAAGGTGGGCAGGACTCAGACAGAGGCACTCAGGACTCAAGCATAGTCCCCTTCATCCTGAACCCATCTCCTCTCAAGGCTGTTTACCAGAGAGGCTCCCCTGTACCCCATCCCCAGCAGCCATCTGCTTCACACACACAGCAAGCCAATAGCACCCCAACCTATAGTGAGAGCAGCAATGCGGCTCCTGTGAGAGCTCAGGCCTCCAGTCAAAGAACAGGAGGGGACATGTACTCACATACCCCTAAGATGCCATATAAGGCTGACTGATCAGCAGTACTAGGAGGTTGGGAAGGCCGCCTGGCCCAGCCCACAGCTCTAGTCACCACACCTTTCAAGGGTGCAAAGATCAGTTGGGCACTACCTTGGCTCAGCTCCAACACTGTGCTCACCATCTATCACCTTCCTCAAACTGAATTCAAACTCTACTCTGGAAGAACTTTCTACAAGAATCTCAAACCACCTGAACTCATTTTTCCCTCCAAAACACATGAGTTTTTCTGTTTTGTGAGCTCTCCAATTAATATTTAAATTAGCATCTACTCTAATCTGTATCACTAATATATTCTTAATGTGTTCTTCAATTGCTCCATGGACCAATTTATATTCCCAAGTTTCATGATGCCAAAGAAGAATAGCTCTATTTTTTTCCTTCTTCCCACAGGCCTAAAAAATAAACTGGTAGTATAAAATATGATTTCTGAAAATCATGCTGAAATAAGCAATCACTATTTATCTAAACAATAATAAATTATCATAAAACCTGGAAACCAATATAAAGCCAAGACCACTCCTCTAATAATACTAATTCAATCAATAAGGTACATATCTGAGTTGGATATAAAAAGAAATGACAATGTGTTACATCTGAACCAATTATTAACTTTAAAGCTGCAAAAATGAATGACATAAATTCAACAACAAAGAAACAAAATCCGATTCACATATAAGCAAAGGATTAGAATAGACATTTCTTCAGAAACATTAAAATGGCCAATAGCGGGCAGCCCCGGTGGCGCAGCAGTTTAGCGCCACATGCAGCCCAGGGTGTGATCCTGGAGACCCAGGATCGAGTCCCACATCAGGCTCCCTGCATGGAGCCTGCTTCTCCCTCTGCCTGTCTCTGCCCCTCTCTCTCTCTCTCTCTCTGTGTGTGTCTCTCATGAATAAATAAATAAAATCTTTAAAAAAAAAAAGGCCAATAGCACAAGAAAAGACACTCAGCATCACTAATCCTTAGGAAATTGCAAACCCAAACTACAAAAAGTAGACAGACAATAGAACAGTGGGTGCCAAGGGTTGGGAGGGGCAGGAATGGGCACCGAGGTTCAGATTCACAAGATGAGTGAGTCCTGGGATGGATGGTGGTGATGACCATACAACAATGTGAAAATGTTTAATACGACTGAGCTGTGCCTTTAAAAATGATCAAGATGGGGGAAAAAAAGGTCTAGATGGTAGAGTTTATGTGTATTTTAGCACAATTTTTTTAAATAGGAAAAAAAAAAGAAAGAACCATCGTAGGGCTATGGAAAAGTGAAAAAAAAAAGTTTGCACATTAGAAAGAGTAAGTGCAGAAAGGGAAAGATGGAAAAATAATCCATAAACACAATACCTTTAAGTTTGGTATAGTTGTGAAGGAGTGGATCAGCAGAAACCATGCATGGCCACCAAGGGTAACCGGACACTTTGGACCACACCAAATCACCGACATTATATTTCAACAGGTGGTCTTTATCTCTGCCAGTATTTGGACAGGACTCTTTCTTAGCTGCAATCTGAAAATGAACAAAAGACATACTAACACATCCAATAAGTACTTCTAAACCCAGCCTTCTATCCACAGATTAATCAGACTATAGGTTTAAAACACACACACACACACACACACACACACACACACACCCCTAAAGAAGGAGCATACTGGGGGCACATGGGTGGCTCAGGCTGATTAATAAGCAACTGACTTCAGCTCAGGTCATGATCTCCAGGGGGTCCTGGGATCCACGCTGACATGGGCTCCCTACTCAGCGGGGAGTCGGCTTCTCCCTCTCCCTCTGCCCCTTCCTGCCACTCATACTCTCTCTCAAATAAATAAAATCTTTAAAAAAAAAAAAAAAGGAACATGCTTCCCCTGCTATCACTTCATCAAAATTGTCCCTTGCTCTAGCTAAAGAATTAGCACAGTGCCTGGCACACACAGTAGATAATCAACATTATGAACCTACATAAATTGATTTCCTTGGCCTGGTAGATGGTCTTTAATGGTGCTTTATTCACTTAGTCCAAAAAGAATTTTCATAGATCAAATCCATATTCTGACCCTCCCACTCCCCAGCCGTATATCTGTCATTTCTCTGGAGCACATGCATCACTCGCAGGAAAGGTCCCAGAGTGACAAGGACATCAGGAAGGCGTGGCCACAGGTCTCAGTCTCATTTGTTGATCTGAGTCCTGGGGCTGTAAGCTTGTTTTTTCCACCTGAGAACACAAGTCACTTTAGGAGTCTGAAGACCTGACCAGGGCCACTATCACCACACACCCCTCTCAATTCTGCCCTCCAGTGGGACAAGCACAGTCAGCATAGCCCCCTCTTGGGTGTGAATTCCCCAGCTTTCTCTTAAGAGCTCTACATACTTGGGCAAAAAGCTTAATTGGTTTGGGCTTCAGTTTACTCATCTGTAAACCAAGGACAGCAGGTTTGAAATCTCACTGGTTGTTAAAAGGATTAGTGTGTGTGGTGGTAAGGGCTGGCCTAGAGCTGCCACATTACACACTGCATTACAGAATAATTTTATTTATTCTATCAGAAGTATTCTTCTTTGCGGGATATGCTTGGTGTAATAATAGGTAGAGTACCTCAAAAAATGCCAGCTGATTACTCCACGGTATCCCAGTTTTACATTTTTTGTCATCTAAGCCACACGACAGCCCCATAAAGATGAGTAGTATCACCTCCATACTGAAGATGGAGAGTCAAAATTCAGGCATTTTACCCAAGTCTTTACAAAATCAAGTAGCAGAGCAGGAAAGAATTTGCACCAGCCTCTTCCCTTATGAAAGAGTGAGGTCCCCTACAATCATGGGCATTTCAAAACCCACTGTATCAGCCCAGCTCACTAAATCGATCTTTAAAAAGTTCACCGTAGGAGTTACATTAGCAAAAGCTAAACAGCTCCTGAGCACTTAAAACACTGTTTTCAAACCCTTAAAAACTTTCATTATTTTAATGACTTCAAGGAAACCGTAGCCATTTCCCCTCTTATCTGTGAAAGTTGTAAATAAAATTCCTCAATTGTAATTTTAAACTAAATATTCCAACCCAAACCGGTTTCAGGTTCCCTTTGCCCACCCCTGCAAGTGAACCTGGAGTTTCAGGTAAAGACCAACAGGCACCAGGCACCTTCCAAATTCTGTTCATACAGACTGTATAGCCTGCCAGCCCCTGGCACCCCCCTAGTTCCTTCAGCCAAGGCCAGAGTTCCCTGTTTTGTATGACTTAAATTAAGTAGTGGGCCATCCTGAGTGCCACGTTAAGATACAGTGACATAAACCACTACATTCCTTCACTATAGGTTGGGGATTTCCACCCAGTGTTTGATGAGTGAACACTTGCTCAGATGTGTTCCGAATGCTGGGCTCTGCGCTGGGAACCCAGAAAGTGAAGGTATAAGAACAGAACCCTGGTCCTCAAGGAGGCAGACCATCTGCTGGACCCCTGGTAGAGGAGACAAGCTAAGTGGACAGTGGACCATGTGGAAGGACAGGAGTACTCCTGCATAACACAGCTTTGTTCCCTATTCCTCACACGGCATAAATTTAAGAAGCCCAATGCTAGATCCCCACACACCTCTATCATTAGGCTAAATTATGTCTCTGGAGAGAAGATCCATGAAAAAGAATACAGTCTAAAGATCAAGGGCTCTGGAACTGGCCAGACCTGAGTTTAGAAACTGGTTTTACCTCTTGAGCCACTTTCATCTTGATCACTTAGTTAACCTCTCCAGGCCTCACCACTGGCTCAACAGCTGCTGAGAGGCCAAAGGTGGGCAATGTCAGGGTATACTGATGCAGGGGCCCAGGCCACGGGCAGACGGGGAGAACTGGAGAGCAGATGCATGGCAGCCTCTCCTCTCCTCCGCCCGACCCCACACGCAGAGGCCCCCCTCACGATCCTCCCCTGGCCACAACTCTTCACAGATACCTTTTTATCTGAGGGACTTGAGATCTTGGACACCAGTGCTGCTTCGACAAGACCCTGCTCCAGGAAGGAGTCGTATTTTATGCTTCTCTTCCTGCTCCTTCTTGCTTTATTTTCTGCTTTTTGTCCGTTTTCCTCTGACTGGGATACAGCAGCAGCACCGTCACCACAAATTGAAGATTCAAAGAGAGGTTTCCCATTCATGTATGTTTTGGTGATCTTCAGCTTAATCTCCGGAGAGCCATTTTTGATAGGGGTGGTGTTAGGCGGTGTCCCAAGTCCTTTCCCTTCCTGTGACTCAAAACGTAATTTGGCATCATGAGCACCAGGTTCTCCATTAAATACACGGGAAGTCAGATCTTTCAGCTTCTCAGATGGAATAAAGGGAAGGGCATCGTGGCCATTAAATTTTTGCATGACCCCCTCCGGCAGACTGGTAGAGAGGTGGGCTTTGCTGAGGAATACAGAACATTCACGATTCACTTCACAGTTCTGAGTCTTTCCGTTTGTATTGCCAAGGATTTCTGGTGCCTGCTTCATCTTTATGCACTCTACAACTTTCTGAACAGAAAGAGGATTTTTTTGATGCTAAATTCCATTCAGCCCAGATGCTTCTGTTCTTAGAACACTACAGTATTAGAAAAACAAAAATAAAAAAGAAATATAATGTTTAAAACCTAACTTAAGTATGCCAATACCTCTACAGCTTTGTGTGGTTATTTGTTTCGAGGCAATTTATGATATTTACATAATCATTTAGGTCACAGAAGGCAGTTCTAATACTTCAAAAATGAGACAGAATCACAAAATGATAAAACTGAAAGGAAAGGAACAAGGATAATTTTTAAGGAGGAGAACACAAAAGTCAGGCCCCCGAGTCGCACCACCACCACCACCAACTAGCAATGAATGTGGCCGTGGACACGTGATTCAGTTGGCTCAACCACTGCTGAAATGGGGAGATCACCACTAGTACATGTGCCTGGGGCAGCTAACACAAAGGCCTTTGTAAAAGGACAGAGGGAAAAGCTCAAAAACAAAGTTCCCCTGGGCACAGCTGAGGACTCCAGGCAGAGGTTCAGCCACATGCCCAAGGTTACTAATCAGCACAACAGAAAACCAGATCTCCCAGTCCCTGCCACACCATTAGCTCCAGATTAATGGTGGGGGCAGTTAAAAAATGAGTCAGTTCTGGTTTACACTCTGACTAGTCATTTAATCTCTGTCTTCTACCCTGTCCTTGCCCAGGCCCAAACTAACTGCTTATGACAAGAAGCATTGCAGGAATGGTAAATTCTCTTCAGCTATCTCCTGAAGATTAACTAGCAAGGTCAACACCACTGAGCCATAACATGCACTACTTGCCTTTGGCCACACTGGCCACTTGAGGCCCAAGGGCAGCAGGGGGCAATTTTAGGAAGACCCCTTAGGTTACGTGTGATGATTGGGGTCCTTACTGTACAGCTATAGTCCTCTCTTGGGGACACCAATGATGGCACTGAAACCCAAAGGACAGCTAGTAACCAGGGACAGGCAGGCACCCATTCCAGCTAGGAAGACATTCACCAAGACGGCATTATGTCAGCTACCAGTGAGAGCCCCCCACCCAAGAAGGCAGCACCAGCTCATGAGACACCAGCGAGAAGCTGAGAGCACAGAGCAAAGAGGTCCACACGTGCACAGCAGCAGTTCTCAACTGTGGAAGCCTCTATTTCCCAGGGACACTTAGCATGGTCTGGAAACACTGTGTGATTGCTACCACTAGGGAGCTGTTACTGACCTCTACTGGGGAGGGTCAAGAAGCTTGTTAAATACCCTTTGACCCACAGGACCGCCTCCATATCAGAAAACTATCTGGCCAAAATGCCAACAGTGCCAAGGTGGAGAAATCTGAGGTGCGGCAATAAGGAACATAGACTTCACTGGAGAGACATGGGGGAAAAAGGAGCACATGAAGCAGCCCGAGCTCCAGGGAGTGTCCTGCGCACCCAGTAGCCTCCTGACATGGAACTTGTGGGATAGCATGCACTTTTACTCACATGGAATTTTTTTTTAATGTAAATTTTTACAACTCAAGTCACATTAACTGGGTAAAAATATTTAAAAAAAATTACTTGAAGACACGAAGAGAGACTGAAAGCAGGAAGAAAATCAATGGGAGTCAGCTCCTGGTGGAAAGTGCCAGGAGAGCGTGCCGGCTTTCAGTTTTGTGCCTAAGGAGAGTTTGAGGCTTCAGTTTTGTGCCTAAGGAGAGTTTGAGGCAACAGGAACAGCTGTACAAGAAGTAAAATTTCGGGGCACCTAGGTGGCTCAGTGGGTGCAGATCTGCCTTTGGCTCAGGTCATGATCCCAGGGTCCCGGGATCAAGCCTCACGTCCGTCAGGCTCTCCACTCAGCAAGGAGTCTGCTTTGCCCTCTCCCTCTCCCCAACCCTCTCTTAAATAAATACAAATCTTTAAAAAAAAAAAAAAGTAAAACTAACAGAAGAGAGCCATTGAAGAAAAGCCCCAAATTCTGCATAGAAATCGTGCCCAGGGGATCCCTGGGTGGCTCAGCAGTTTGGCATCTGCCTTTGGCTCAGGGCGTGATCCTGGAGTCCTGGGATCGGGTCCCGCGGTGGGCTCCCTGCATGGAGCCTGCTTCTCCCTCTGCCTTGCCCATGTCTCTGCCTCTCTCTGTGTGTCTCTCATGAATAAATAAATAAAATCTTTTTAAAAATAAATAAATAAATAAACCGTGCCCAAATTCCAGGTAGATACATATATGGACAGAGTCCAAGAAGCCCAGTTTATAAAATAACTGAAACAAGATTCCAGCTGCTGGACAAAAAACAAACCAACACATCACTTTAAGATCAAAACCACAGTGAGATCCTACATCACACCCAGTAGGATGGCTACTCTCAAAAATATCATGAAGTAACAAGTGTTGGTGAGGATGTGGAGAAATTGGAACCCTGTGCACTGTCAATACAAGTGCAAATGGTGCAGCCGCCGTGGAAAACAATATGAAAATCCCTCACAAAATTAAAGATAGAACTACCATATAAGGGTAGCCCCGGTGGCCCAGAGGTTTAGTGCCGCCTTCAGCCCAGAGCGTGATCCTGGAGACCCGGGATTGAGTCCCACATCAGACTCAAACCACCTGAACTCATTTTTCCCTCCAAAACACATGAGTTTTTCTGTTTTGTGAGCTCTCCAATTAATATTTAAATTAGCATCTACTCTAATCTGTATCACTAATATATTCTTAATGTGTTCTTCAATTGCTCCATGGACCAATTTATATTCCCAAGTTTCATGATGCCAAAGAAGAATAGCTCTATTTTTTTCCTTCTTCCCACAGGCCTAAAAAATAAACTGGTAGTATAAAATATGATTTCTGAAAATCATGCTGAAATAAGCAATCACTATTTATCTAAACAATAATAAATTATCATAAAACCTGGAAACCAATATAAAGCCAAGACCACTCCTCTAATAATACTAATTCAATCAATAAGGTACATATCTGAGTTGGATATAAAAAGAAATGACAATGTGTTACATCTGAACCAATTATTAACTTTAAAGCTGCAAAAATGAATGACATAAATTCAACAACAAAGAAACAAAATCCGATTCACATATAAGCAAAGGATTAGAATAGACATTTCTTCAGAAACATTAAAATGGCCAATAGCGGGCAGCCCCGGTGGCGCAGCGGTTTAGCGCCGCATGCAGCCCAGGGTGTGATCCTGGAGACCCAGGATCAAGTCCCACATCAGGCTCCCTGCATGGAGCCTGCTTCTCCCTCTGCCTGTCTCTGCCCCTCTCTCTCTCTCTCTCTCTATCTCTCTCTCTCTGTCTCTGTGTGTGTGTGTGTGTCTCATGAATAAATAAATAAAATCTCTAAAAAAAAAAAAAACACCATATGACCCAACAATTCCACATCTGGATATGTATCCAAAGGAACTGAAAGTAGGGTCTCAAGGAGATGCCTGCCTCCCCATGTTCACAACAGCACTCTTCACAGCAGCTAAGACACAGAAGAACCCAAGTGTCCATCAACCAATGAATGGATAAGCAAAATGTGGTCCAACCACACGATGGAATGTTATTCAGCCTGAAACAGGAAGGACACTCTGCCACCTGCCACCACCTGGATGAACCTGGAGGACATTGTGCTCAGAGAAGTGACCAAGTCACAGAAGGACAAATTCCATAGGATCCCACTTACATGAGGTCCCTAGAGGAGACAGATCTGTGGAGAGAGAAGGTTGATGGTGGGAACCTCAGGCGAGGGGTAGGGGGAAATAGGGAGTTAGTGTTTAATAGGTATAAGTTTCAGATTCACTAGATGAGGAGTTCTGGGGATGGATGTGGGGACAGCTGCACAATGAGAATGTGCTTAACACCACTGAACCATACATTTTAAAAAATTAAGATAAAATTTATATTATGTATAGTTTAACAAAATTAAAGATAAAAGACCACTCTTAAGGGGAATGTGAGAAATCAGAGAACACTGGGGAGACAATCACTCTTGAGAAATCTGCCTCAAGAGCCTGTGATGCCTCAAAGCCTGAGCCAAGAAACTTATGTAAAAACAGATCTAGAACGAATGAGGCTGGTAGGACCCTGCAAAAGCAAGCTGGAAACTGCTCAGGGGAAGCACACACACCACAACCAGAGCCTGCCTGCAAGACCTCCCTGCTGAGGTGAACCATAGAGAGGGATTACACAGCATGCAAACCCATCACCAACAGAGAGAGATACCCAAGGAGCTAGGCAGAGGGTAATATGGAAGGTATTTCAGAAATAAGAAAAGGAAATTATTTTTCTCATAACTTGCAGATTTGGAAAAGAAAAACAGGCAATGAAATTAAAATAGTTGAGTTGAATACAGCAGACTAACCACAACTAAATATATACTTATTAGAAGATAAATCTGGACAAATCACCAAGGCATACAGCTGATAAAGGGATGAAAAATATTTAAGAGGGATTAAAAGATATAACATTCATGTTCATTCTTTTTAAATTTATAGAGTGGGGGTGCCTGGGTGGCTTAGTGGTAGAGCATCTGCCTTTGGCGCAGGTTGTGATCCCAGGGTCCTGGGATCAAGTCCCACATCACACTCCTCACAGGGAGCCTGCTTCTCCCTCTGCCTGTGTCTCTCATGAATAAATAAATTAAAAATCCAAAAAAAAAAAAAACACCATTCACATTAGCACTCCAAAAAATTAAACATTTAGGGGGATCCCTGGGTGGCTCAGCGGTTTAGAGCCTGCCTTTGGCCCAGGGCACGATCCTGGAGTCCCGGGATCAAGTCCCACATCAGGCTCCCGGCATGGAGCCTGCTACTCCCTCCTCCTGTGTCTCTGCCTCTCTCTCTGTATGTCTATCATAAATAAATAAATAAATAAATAAATAAATAAATAAATAAATAAATAAATAAATAAATAAATAAATAAATAAAAATTAAACATTTAGGAATAAATCTAACAAAATGTGTGCAAGACCTATATAGAAAAGAAACCACAAAACTCTGATGAATAAAATCAAAGAAGAGTTTAAATAAATGGAAAGATATTTCACATTCATGGATAAAATGACT